AGTACCAACAACAACCACACCAGCTGTCATACCAGTACCAACAACAACCACACCAGCAGTCAAACCAGTACCAACAGCAACCACACCAGCTGTTGCATCAACACCAGCAACAACAACCTCAACACTTTCCCCCTCTCTCAGCTCAGGGTCAAAGGTTACCACCACCCCTACACACACTTCCTGTGTTACACCCCCCGGCACACTACGCACCCCTGCAGGTCCCAATTCCCCCCCAGACACATCTGCATGCACTCACTTCACAAACATGCTTGTACTGTTACAGTATGAACTTTCCCTACTCTCCATAATTAAGCTGTTACAGTGGTGAACAGATACCCAGATAATAAGATTTACACAGCTTCAGTGTTTTTTGTTAGCCTTTAAGTATGTGAAACATACAATAAAAAGATCTGAAAATGAGGCAATGAGTTCAGTGATTTTGTGATTGAACCTTGAATGTGCACCCAGGTTTTACAGTTTGAAGAAAATGTTATCTTTCCTAAACTCTTGTTCATCTTTAACATTAGCCTTGACATACTCTAGCTGACAGTATATTCCTATAGCAGCAGCTGATGAACATTCGAGGGTCGGCATTGCTACGAGATGCATTGTCAACCTCTGAGGTCTACAAACGTGCCCTTGCACCACTGGAGATTAAACACGTCTGTTCTTTTACAAAATTCAGCATTTGGAAAGAGCTATCAGGCTAGTTATCTGCACTTGCTAATGTTAGCACTGATTCCATTACCTGGTGGTAAGAGAAACCCATTACCTGATTACAACTGGGGAAATTCTGGCACTTTTGAGTAGAGTTGTTCTAATACCAATACCAGTATTGGAAATTGGTATCAGTGAGTATGCATGTCTGTGCACCAATCCAAGACCACGTAATTTATTAACCCCAAAACATGAGTAATTTTTTAAAAGCTCATGTATCGGCTCAGTACTTGGAATCTGTTTTGGGAAGGGAAAAAAATTTACTGGAACAACGCTACTTTTGATTACTTGTTTCCAGAAAAGAGAAACAAAAGAACAATCCCACATTAAATGAAAAACTTACCCACTTCCTTTCAACTCCTCCAACAGTGATTGCCATCCCTGAGGTGATCTCTTTCCCAGATTTGTATTAAATTCTTACGTTTATTAAGGGTTTGTTTGTGAGAGACAAAAGGGACTCAACCATGCTGACTGACGAACAAAAAGAATCAACTTAATGCTTCACAAAGCTGCAGAGATGTGTTGATTCTCAGTGAGATCGGCAGGAGGCCTTCTCTTGACTGTATCAATTAAAGGGAACAATTTATTAATACATTGCTCAATGTAGCTTTAGAATCTGCAGCATGATTCTCACACCATGTCCTAAAGGACCATTGTAGCCACTAATATGAGCGGAAAACGCAGGTGTTTGTTTGCCACAGACAACAGAGCAGTCTTTTCCTGTCTCACCTTCACAGAGATGGACATTTTCCAACCACATGAAAAACAACAAGAGGCTCTTTGTATGATGTGTGTGGTTTGTTCCACCTACAGTAGCCACTAAGTCTCTCCAGATGTCTCCACTGAGACAAAGTGTTTCCACTATGACTGCCAACACACAGACACAACACACACACA